TATATTAACAAAAACGAAGTTTAAATTACTAAATGGAGTTTAAAATGACATTTTTATATTAACAATGTCATTTTAATCTTCGTTTAATAATTTAAACTTCGTTTGACACAACGGTGGAATCGGCCCTTAGCTAGTTATATATTGATAAAGTGTTATTGCCCTCATCATACATAAATCGTGCTAACAAATAAAGTCAAACAAACGTCTCATAATTTTTCATCTTTTAATTACCCACCAAAATTAGGTACTACAATACAAATATTTAAGTCCGGCCCAGAACACCTCCCTACTCCTTCCACTCAGTTTTTCGGTTTTGGCAAAATTCGCGCAGCGAGAAATGCTTCCTATGTTACCTCTACCCTTTCTAACCTCTTTGAATTTTGCATACAAGCTTTTCTTATGCCGTGCAGAGATTAGGGACATAAAGATTGGAAACGCAACGATCGCAGCAACGATGGCGTCATCTAGCGTCTCAGATGTTAACTACAGGTCTACGTCGTTTGTAGAGAGACCAGTGTTGCCACATATTTTTTTTGAGAGATCGTACAAGTAGAGTAGAAAAATGATATTTAAAAAAAAAAACGTGTACAATAGATACATGCATAGCATAATATAACTTAAATGAAATGACAAAATAAAAAAAAAAACTTTGGCATGATAATTTATTTATCTATTTATAAAAATGTTAACAACGAAAAAAAATAAAGAAAATACATAAAACTTTAAATTAACACATTTAAAGTAATCAATGACTGTCACTTGAAAGTGATTGAAATTTTGCATGCAAGCTTTTCTTATGTCGTGGTAGTCGATGTACAAAATCACGATGGTCAAAATCACGATAAGTTAGAACGAAAATTACTGCCTTCAGAAATTACGAACGGTCTATGAATCTTTGCAAATAGTTTTTGATTTTTATTGTTTTATGTTCTGAAGTTGTTGCAGATATTTAAATAAACCTACTAAAAAAGTGAAGATCGTATTTTTACGTACGATCTCACTGATTCTATCGTCGTACATCGTACAGTTAAAAAATCGTATAAATACGATTTAAATCGTACGGTTGGCAACACTGAGACAGACAGTAAACGTGGACAGCAGTGGACAGTTTGTAAATATAAATGTCAGTTTTATGTAGGTATATCGAAAAATCCTGAATTTAAATTTTAAATTTTGAGTTCATGATTGTGTTATCCTCTAGATGAACTAAGCGAAATAGTTGTGGCTGTTTTTGTGTGAAATTTGAGGACAATAATTATATTTTGTAATATTACAATAAGTCGAAGAACGTATTGCATTAGTAACACATGCCACATGAACAAATTTACCAACCCCAATGTGGCGTTCTTTAATTGACCAAAGTAGGTAAGATCTATTCATGTAAATAACACAAAAATAGTAATCAACTTTTGTCACAAAGTAGATATTTATGTATTAATAATTGTTTTAGAACAAGAAAATGGCTTCAAAACGTTAGAAAGGAGATTTGATATAGGAAGAAAAATATCTGAATTCTCATTATTGAATGTGCACTCAACATTTTTAAATAAGATACCATTGGCCATTCGTTTGGAAAATAAAAACAAAAATGCAATGTTACAAATAACAATCAAAAATTAAAAAATATTTGTCATGAATATAGGTTTACAATAATTAATCGATAATAGACTGTAAGTGTAGTATTTTTTTTAATAAATACCTAATTTAGCTCAATTACATTGTTTATTTACAGTTTATTTACAAGAACATGAGAGTGCAATCGATATTTATACCACCTTTATTAGTAGGTTTTTAAATCTCCCGCTGCGTTGTTTAATATCGATGAAAGCGCCACATAGTGGGTCAGATGTTAACTGCGATAAAGCTGGTCGTTGTTAAGCATTGGCTTCTTATGGGCGTTTCCTATCTTTATCTCCCTTATCTCTGACCAGATTATCAAATTTTAGACAGGCACAATGAAAATTTTCTTGGAAAATTTCAACTATGTATGGTGGATTCTTTAAGAGACATTCTTTTTGCAATGAAAAATAAAAGTAGCACAGATGACATTAACATTAATATTTTAAAAAACTGTTTTGCTAACCTCTCAGAACCACTTTTATATTTGATAAATTCTTCATTAGAAATTTCAAAAATACCTAATGCTCTAAAAATTGCTATGGTAGTGCCTGTTCCAAAGACAAAAAACGCAAATAAAGCTATAAATTTAAGACCTATTAGTATGTTAAGTTGTATCGAAAAAATCATTGAGAAGATCGTTTATGAACAAATTGTTAATTTTTTAGAACAAAATAAACTTACTAGAATACAATAGGGCTTCAGAAGCAAACATAACTGTGAATCAGCTATCCAGTGTGTTTTATATGATTGGAAATATAAATTTGAAAAAACTATCTGACATTGGCAGTTTTTATAGATCTTCAAAGGGCATTCGAGACTGTTGATCAAAACCGTTTGATAAAAAGATTGAAAAGTATGGGTATAGTAGAGCAAGCATTAAAATGGTGTGTGGATTATCTAAGTAAGAGGAAACAAAAGTTAAAAGTAAATAACATTTTGTCAGAGGAAATTAACTATATCAGAGGTGTTCCACAGGGAAGTATATTGGGTTCCCTTTTGTTTTTAGTGTATATCAATGACATTGTTGATTTCAAGGGTCAATGTAACATTCACCTGTTTGCTGATGATGCCCTAATATATTTTTCTTGTAAGGATTCAGATAACTTGGTAATAGTTGTTAATTAAACACTGCAACATGTTTATAAATGGTGTTGCACTAATTTGTTGAAAATTAACACAAATAAAACAAAATGTATGCTGATAAGTAGCAACTATAACTATAGATACACAGTTTGTTGATAAACAATATAACATAACAATTGGAGGAAATTCTATACAGTTAGTAGAAAATTCAAATACTTAGGGGTAATGATTTTTTTTTGTTTGATTGACAAGCAGATGAGATTCATAGATCATGCCAAAACTATTGCATTTAAGTTAAATTTCCTATTTAGAAGTTCATTTGGCTTATCACAGTGGACTAAATGTATTATATATAATACCATAATTCTACCTCACTTTAATTATTGCTCTACAATACTCTTTTTACTAAATCAAAATGAGTTGAATTAATTACAGAATCTGCAGAATAGGGCTATGCGAATAATATTATCCTGTTCAAAATATACTTTCATTAATCTAATGCTTGAAACTTTGAGGTGGATGTCAATCAAAAGTCTCTTATTACGGAATAAAATCAAACACGGGGTAACTTCCAATGTACCAAAAAGAGAAGCTTAATTATCACTCTAATGTGCACAATTATCCAATGCGGAACATAAATACCTTTTATATTGAAACAGTTGTTAAGAGTGCAACACAAAATTCACTATTTTCTAAAGGTCTAAATCAATATAACGCACTTCCAGAGAAAATTAAATCAGTAATGTCTGTAACTACATTTAAAGTCAAAGTGACAGATTTCTTAATTGATAAATACTTCTCCAGAAACAGTAACAACCTATAGAATTTTAGTTAGTTTTAACTGTATCTAAATTATCTGAGTTTTGACTTATATGTATATGTATATTTTTACTAAATTTGTATATTGTGATATTAGCAAACTAGCTAAATAAAGGAAATAATAATAATAAATCCTAACCTCCTAGATGACACTAGCACTGAAAAAAAGTATAGTTCCAAAAAATGTTGAAATTTGAGCAAAAGAGCCTACCAGTCGCACAAAAATTTCACTATGCCCTGATAACAAGCAATTCCAGTCGAATGCAATAATTGACTTTGAAATAATTAGGTTCTGCCAGTCTGCCACTTAAAAACCTCGAACTATGTGCTCATTAATGCAACCAGTCGAATATGCTATAAGCTACTACTTGCAGGTATCACTATTGTAAAAAAATCTTTGTTCCATATCTTGTACAAATTAATAATAAGTTTTTCACAAATTGTCTAAAATCAAAGTTCAGAGATGCTACTTTTATGTCATACACTATTGCCTAGTGGCACAAAATGTTTACTATCCAATTATTTATTATTAAAAATAAAGCAAGTTTAGAGATGCTACTTTTATGTCATACACTATTGCCTGGTCGCACAAAATGTTAACTATCCAAATATTTATTATTAAAAGTAAAGCAATTCATTTCTAATAATTTTCCTTGCCTTAACAATATTTTATAATATAACTATTGATGTTCTTTTACCCACCCAGCAACCCTATTCCCCCTCTTTCCTTTAAAGTTCATAATATTAATCAAAAATATGTTATATTTTTATTTAAAAAATATATTTGTGTCATTATTAATTTGCACAAGATATAGAACTCAAGTTTTTCCTTACCATAGCTTTACTTACAAGTGCATATGCTTTGTAATCCAAGATCTCAAACTAAATATACTTATACAAAATATTTATACTAAAATGACCTAAATCATGGAAGCTTCATTAATGGCAAGTTTTTGGTTAATTGACTGCACAACATCAATGAATAAATAATTAATCATTAAGCCATTCATAATAATCTAAATAGTTCGTTAATTAATTTCAGAAAATCGTTTGAATATAAAGTTACAGAACGACTTACCTGCAAACGGTGATATAAATTATTTATTAGAAATACATTTGTGTAATATTTTAATAATGACTATAAACACTTAATAAAATGCAAAACGTAGACAGTCATCATCAAATAATTAAATTGTGAATAAAGGAATCATATGGTATGTTGAATATCTAGCACAACACATTTTTTCCGTTGACTGCTATGTTTATAATTAACTTAAGCTGCATTCTTGGTCATTACTAGAACCAGGATCAACCTCCTGGTCGGATTTTCGATATTAATAGAACCACAAATTAAAATCTTAAAAATTGATCCAAATAAAAACAAATATAAACAGTCATCCATGCTTTAATTTTTTTACGTTTTATTAACCCCGCCTTTAAAACTTCCATTTTACTACTTTACATAAAAAAGTACTTACGAACAAACTACTCAAAAAATCATATGATGCAAACAAAACATAACTGAAATGTGTATTATTAACAATCTACATCGATTTAGCAGAATAAAAACACTAATTTTCTTTACACTGTAAACGTCACGAATAAATAAAAACGAAAAACGAAAGTCTTGTTTTTGTTGACAATGAAGAAATTGACAACTAACAACTGACATTTTACTGACAGAAAAAAATGACAGCAAACGCTAGGCACTTTTTCGTGTCTTACAACTCTGTTTTAATTTTCATCGTGATGACGCAGATGACATTTTTTACAATTAAATTATAATTTTAAAAAATGTACTGTATTCATAATAAAATACACATCTTTTAACATAAAGGTATTTTTCGCGGCATAAACCAACATAAACATTTATGATAGATTATGTTTTTTAGGACCGATTCCACCGTTGTGACGAAGTTTAAAATCAAACGCCTTAGTCAAATCACATAAATATCTCCGCTACAACTTCATTAAAATTAATTTTTCGAGTAAGTTAGTTCAAGATATGAAAATATCGTAATTAAAAACAGGTGAGCGGAGGAGGCGAGCCAGTCCTGATAATTTATATAGGCAACCAATAATGCATACATATATTATGTGTAATTTTCGATAGATTTTTCCTTAAAGCATATAAGACTAGAGCAGCGTTTCTCAAAGTGTGTTCCGCGGAGCCCTGGAGTTCCGCAAAGCCTCTGGGCTCCGCGAAAATAATAGCTATAATAAAACAAAAACTAAAGCAGTACTATGAGGAAGTTCGGGAGGACCTGGTTTTCACTAAGAAAGGATCTGATTTTGCTTGAGAACCTTTCAATTTTTTTTTAGAAATAACCCGGGATTGCAATGTAAAATAAAACCTAATTATTGTTTTAGGGCTCCGTCAAATATTTCGCATTTCAAAAAGGTTCCGTCGCCAAAAAAGTTTGAGAAACACCGGACTGGAGATATCATTCAATGTATTTGTCATCACTTTTGACGTGAGGGGAGAGGGGTAGGTACTCCATTCTCAGTGGCGTACGGTTTGAAAGGGTTCGTATTTATGTTTACTATTTATGCACTGTAATTTCACAACTAATGATTTAGATAATTGATTCGCATTATTTATAAACAAATTTATTTAACAATGTTCTTTTTTTATTTATGTTAAGCTTTCGTTATACACTGTATTGTAAACATGTTTTACTGGAAATTACTATATGTTCTTTAGGATTGAAAACTTTTTTTTTATTGTAGATATAGATTTTGAAACTGTATGCTTTCAACTGAATTCGTGTTCACACATTATTTTTGTTTAGTTCAAGTAGATCATTTAGATGAAATATGTTTTTATATAGAGTAAATAAATTTCGTCCCTACAAATGAAATGTACATATAATGTATTCTGCAGATTTATTAATGATACACATTTAATTAAATTAATTAAAGTTCCAAAGACTATTATTACCAGCACCTGTTTGGTTTTTAAAAATATAAGAGCTAATCATACCTTTTCATTAGCCTTCTATCTTTCTTTTCCAACTTCGAAATTTCCAATGTTGGAAACTGCAGATACGGGCATATTTTCTTTGCCGTCGTTATTTTGAAGCCTGTAAACAATAATGTAATAATAATAATATCCAGACAGCACACCAAATCCTTTGGATATCTACTGAACATCCCAATATCCACTGAATCTCCAGTCCATGGTGGATATCTATTTTATATCCATGAGATGTAATTTATAGACATGCAAATGTCCATAAATAATAGTAATTATATAGCAAATTATTAAAAAAATACGCCAGTGCTCGCCATTGTGGCTAATAGTACCGTTCACATATTTAAAATAATTTTTTTTAAGGTGTATTCAATATCCCATGGACATCCACTATATAATCAAAGTCTAGGCGCGAACGCAAACCATCGTGGATATCCACTAGATGTAATTTTTGATTTTGCTTACTAAGTATAGATGGCGATACCACTATCGCATCTACTCATGCTTAACCCCCCGTAATTGAGTTCGATCGAAATTTGTTTCCCAATCAGACTCCATTAGAGACTGGAGTCGAGAATTTCCATTTATTGCTGAAGAGTCCTAATATGGATGACTTTCTCCTTAGTGGGCAAAATCAAAGGCAGAGTGTTGAAAATATTCTGAGTGTTGAACATATTTTTATCTCTGCTATTTTCTTTCGACGTTATTCAATAATCATTGGTTACTTTTATGAACCTCTACCAAAGATACCAATAAAATATTTTGCTGAATATCCGAATTCCTCTATATCCTGGGATATAGACGGACATTTGGTTGGATATCCATATTGGATATCTACAAAATCTATTCTGTGGATATCTCTCGGATTTCTTGTATTGTCTGGAAGATACTGTGGCGACATCATAGCACCACATAGTCTTACCTTTAGTTTTGACTTTTACGTCAATTTATTTTAAGGTTTCTTAGTCAGTTTTTATTTGAGGTTGGTCAAGTGTCAATGTCAGATGGTACCATTATAATATCACATATATTATGATCTTGGTCGATAGCTGCGTACACTAGCACCCTAATTATCCGATGGATGGTAACCATGGAAAAAGGAAACAAAAGATTGATTGATTACTGATTTCGAAAAAGACAAGACAAGACGTACCTCGACACAACATTTTTCATATAATATTTTTTTTATATTTTAAAATAAAATTATAATTATTTACTGAAATTTTGATTTCCTGCTATCTACAGATACCCATTAGATATTTTGCTGGATAATCCATAGGATATCTTCTATATTCTGGATATAGACGGACATTTGGATATCCACATTAGATCCACGAAATATTTCTGATATCCTGTGGATATATTGGATATCCACAAAAGATATTCTGAGTATATCTCTGGGATTTGGTGTGTTGTCTGGGTATATGTTTAGTATTTAACAAAATAAGCAAATAAGTGTGTTTCGGAAGTCACATATATTAATATCGAATTACAATTATTTGCCCATTTCCCATTTTAAGTTACGTTTATGGAATATAGAATACTTACTTGTGAAACGTCAACCAGGATCCTTTTAAGAATTTATTATTGCAAATTATACAAGCTTTCGGCGTGATTATCACTTATTTTATAATAAAAATACACTTAAAAAGTTTATAAAAGAGACACGTCGTTCAAATTATCTTTGGAAGCCACAAAAAACGATTTTTTTAAAAACGAAAACAAGACGTCAAATGAAATGTCATTTATTACAAATACGCGCGTTATTTAAATTCGCCAATCATAAATCGTCGTGTTCCTAACTCGCCAATCATAATGCGTCGTGTACCTAACACCGAAGGGGTTACCCCCCTCAGTACATAACAAACCCATTTGAGTAACACCTCTAGTCTTATATGCTCTAAGGATTTTTCAAAAACTTCGTAATATGCATGCGCTGTATTGCCGCTAAACATCGCATCGCTGTGCCATTTTTTATTAGGTCTGCAGGATCGGGTAGCGTTCTACTGGTGGGAAGTGTACAGTGATGAGTCTTTGAAGGGTTCTCTATAATGTAAATTCTACATTTTTAGATCAGATAGGTTCTTATTGAATCTATATAGGTAATTTGCTTTTATTTTTATAATAGTTAAATAAAAAATTATTACACATTACTGTTTTATTTATTAACAATATTCAATGTTTTCCACAATAGTCTTCAAATTCTTGAAGATTGACATCATTTGTAGTCTTCAGTAAAAATGTTACTGCAGCTGAAACAAAATAATAAACCATAAGTATCCCGTTTGCCTAAATTTTTGGTATTTGGGAGTAGCGTGCTCACCAGCGTCGGCCGACGTTAAATAAATATTTAAAAAAAAATAAGTATTCCGATTTTTGATGTCGTTTTATCAGATTAGTCATCTGAAAACGCTTGTGAAAAAGATTTTACCAATTCATGAAGGGTCAAAGAGAAATACCCAGACAGCACACCAAATCCCAGAGATATCAACAGAATATCTTTTGTGGATAGCCAATATATCCACTGGATATCAGAAATATTCCGTGGATCTAATATGGATATCCAAATGTCCGTCTATATCCAGAATATAGTAGATATCCTAATGGATATTCAGTAAAATATCTAATGGGTATCTTCCAGAAAATACAAGAAATCCCAGAGATATCCACAGAATATATTTTGTGGATATTCAATATATCCAATATGGATATCCAACCAAATGTCCGTCTATATCCCAGGATATAGAAGATATTCGGATATTCAGCAAAATATTTTATGGGTATCTTTAGTAGAGGTTCATAAGTAACCAATGATTATTGAATAACGTCGAGAGAAAATAGCAGAGATAAAAAATATTTTCAACACTCTGCCTTTGATTTTGCCCACTAAGGAGAAAGTCATCCTTATTAGCACTCTTCAGCAATAAATGAAAATTCTCGACTCCAGTCTCTAATGAAGTGATTAGGACACAAATTTCGATCGAACTCAATTACGGCGGGTCGAGCATAAGTAGATGCGATAGTGGTATCGCCATCTATACATAGTAAGCAGAATCAAATAACATCTAGTGGATATCCACGATGGTTTGCGTTCGCGCCTAGACTTTCATATATTTAGTGGATGTTCATGGGATATTGAATACACCTTAAAAAAATTAATTTTAAATATCTAAACGGTACTATTAGCCACAATGGCGAGCACAATGGCGAATTTTTTTAATAATTTGCTATATAATTACTATTATTTATGGACATTTGCATGTCTATAAATTACATTTCATGGATATAAAATAGATATCTACCATGGACTGGACATTCAGTGGATATTGGGATGTTCAGTAGATATCCAAAGGATTTGGTGTGATGTCTGGGTAGTTTCTGTATGTCAAGCATTACATCCTGGTTAAATGGTTTATTAAAATTACATGCCTATATATAATCGTAATTGCTTCGCATGCTTTGCAAAAATCATTAAAAACTCTATTCCATTAACAACAATAAGTTTTTTAAGACATATTGTTTTAGATTATAAATTCAATAAAGCACACGACCCAATACATAGGTAGTTATTTATGATATAAGTGGGATAGAGACTGTAGTATACCACGAATATTGTACAAAGTTTTATCTACGATCGCCATAAGGAAAAAAGAACACACTGTTGCAGATAGAATTCATAACCACCGCGCACCGGTACCAAGTGGTCACCGCAACCACAGAGCCAACAACTCTTGTGCAACAATTTGGTATTCACACAACACAGTAAATGTTAACCATGTTCAACAATTAGGTAATAACTAAGAGAACTGAATAAAAATGGGGTGTTGAAATGGGATAAAATTAAAAAAAAATCAGAAATCAAAAACGAAAAGCGATATCAACATAACATTTTGAGTAAAAATCACTCTTACAAATGGATGAACTATATTTTTTCTGAAAAAAATCTGATTTTAAATGGGGTGTGTTAAAGTGTGAAGAGTATATAATATAGAACGTCAAGCATTATACACCGCCCTGCTAAGCTGAAATGTCCTATCTGACATGAGGAAAGTTTTGAGATATACACAACCAAACTTATATGGAATCATCTATTGTTTTTCATAATTTTTCACATGTATGAACATTTTTTATTTATGAATAACAGTCAGTCCTTACCAAAGACTTTTAATGACAAATAACCCACATATATGGCAATAAAAATAATCAATTAGTTGACAAAATAAATACAATGGTATTTTTTTGGTTTCTGAAACGAAATTAGACTTAAATTTTCAATAGCCAAAAAGCAAAAACAAAAAGAAAATTGGTAATTTTTACAATCCGTGTTACCACCTCTAGCCATTATACAAGCTTCTATTCGTCTTGGCATGCTTCTTATTAAATTGTCAACATTGTCTTGGGGTATGTTTTCCCATTCTGCTAATGCTGCATCAATAAGCTGTGCGACAGTTCCTGCATTGTTTCGGCCAGCTCTAACCCTTCTTTTGAGCTGGTCCCACAAGTGTTCGATAGGATTTAGGTCTGGTGAACATGCAGGCCAGTCTAAAACTGTGACACTTTTCGTTTCAAGACATTCTCTAGAGCCATTCTCTCGTCTCGTTTCTCTCGTGATAAAAACATATAAAATAACTATAACAACAACACATAATTTTTCAAGTAATTTGTCTCATTAGTACCCAAATTGGCAATAAGAAACACTTAGGGAAATTATCTTGGTAATCGTTTTACTTAGACACTATTTGACATAGACAATTGAAATTTAAAGTAATCAGTGGCCTAAATTGAGCGTTAACTAAGAATGTATAGCAGAGGTAGAAGTTGGAAAGGCTTTTGGTAGGTAGAGAGGGGGTAAACGTCAAACCACGTCGGACGACTTCGAGAATTTTGCAGTAATGTCGTTTCATAGAATAAGAACTGGACAATCGCATGTATTTATGAACTATAAATAATTATTAAACAAGTATTATAATACCCAAATCATAATTCTACAAAATTTCAACAGCTATTCACAATTTATTAAACTATTTACTCGAAATTGTTATTATAACATCTAAAAATTATTTTGTACGCCAATGTATCGCGTCCACTTCGGTTAGATCCGCCGCAAACCTGTTAAATTGTGTATGAAGTGGGAGAACTAGCAAAAGCCTTTCCAACTTCTGCCCCTGCTATAAATACTTTGTCTTAGAAGTCAGTTGGGAGGGGGTAGGGTTTCATTTGGAAGTTAGAATTTTTTTCGTGTGATATCAAATGAGAGCATTTTGAAGCATGGTAACAATATATTATACGTTCGTTTCTTTTACTTTTTCTTTGACAGTTTTTCGAAAAAACACTTAAAAATTGTTCATTTATCTCCAAAAGTAACCTACGAAAAATTTGACTGCATGGAAATTATTACGATTCTGTCCGTTGGTTAGTTTTTTATATAAAGAAATTTCGGATGGCGCTTTTGTCTTGAGCGCTTTTGTCGGGAAGCGCATTTGTCGGGGCGCTTTTGTCGGAGAACTTTTTTCTGGGCGCATTTGACGGGTCACCACAAATAAAAATCGTGCAAGCCGTTTCCGAGACAATTGAGGCGTTCCATACTTATAAAGAATAGGTGTTTTATAGTTAACTTTTTGACTCTCTGGAAATCTGATATTTTTAAATTTTAAGTTACGATAAGTAATTGAAAATTTTAAAGAAGTAAAAAGTTAATTGCGCGAGAGAACTCGAGAGAGCTCGAGAGAAACGAGAAATTCTCGTCGAGAGATGACACTCTCTCGTCTCGAATCTTTTTTCGAGACAAAAGGTCTCTCTCGTCTCGTACGAGATGAGACAAGACGAGACGAAAGACGAGAATCTCTCGTCTCGCGGCATCACTACTTGGGACAGATCTCGCGGCGTGGAGTCTCGCTCATCTTCCTGGAGCTCTGAGAACCTGAATTCAATGGTCATCTGATCTTAGACCAATTCTGGTCTCATCCGAAAAAAATAAACATTTTACGAATTCTCAATTGTCCAGTATATTTTCAGTATATTTTTTAGTTATTTAGATTAAATATACGTAAAAATGAGTTTTTCTTGTGTAGAATCGATAAATAATAGCATTTCTCTTTTTATTTCGTCCACATTCACAAATAAATCATAAAATTTAATCAAACTATATGAAACTAATGTATATAATTACGAGTATAAAAACTAAAATATTAAGCGTGTCAATGGAGGTAGGAACAGGGCGTTTGACTTCTATGCGAGAGGCCCGGGTTCAAATCTGGGCTGAGGACTAATTGAATCGGTGAGTTCGAAAACCGTACAAGTCCAAAATTTGACATTTTAAAGTAAGATGGCCATTTTGTTTAAAATTTGTCTCTTCATATCGATTAAGCTTAAAAATCATATTAGATACCTATCCTTTAATGTAGTACAGTTGATTACACCCGTGAAATTAGGCAAAAAACCGTACATATTCGTGACTCGTTAAAAGGTTTTTCTCGGAAGGCTGATTTTGGACATGTATACGGTTTTCGAATTCACCGATTTAATTAAATTAAATCTTCTTTTCATGTTTATTTTGTTTATAAATTTTTTGTCATAACCTAAAATATTTTTTAAAATTTGTAAGTTTTCGTTAGTGGGTAGTAAAAAAAATATACTCTACAACTCGAGTGGATTGTCCTGTTGCACAAACTACTATTTCAATCTTATTTCCTTACCTTTCAGCTGATTTTCATCTTGGAAAAATCCTTTTCCCAAATACGATGCCACAATATCGGTTCTAGACAACAAACCCATTCTGTATTTACAAACAAAAGCAGCCATGAGCTTTGCATCATTATTAGACAGTTTTCTTCGACACTTATCAGCTTCATTATTTGCAGACGAATATACGTCAGTGAACGTCTGCCATACTTGATCTTTTATTTCTCTTTCAATGTCTTCTTTTTGCTGGGATGAAGCAAATTTCTAAAAATTTGAAATACCTAGGTTAGATATGATCATTAAAAAGTGGGTAGGCATGCTTCAGTATGAGATTTTCGAGGTATTATGTATGGAGGATGAATAGTTAGTATTGTAATGTGAGCCATTTCATTATTCAGTCCCTCTCTGTATTATTTGGCCTTTGAGGCTCAACTTTTTCGATTATTATACATAATTGAATCCCTTAAGACCAAACCTATGTGACGACTATGGTGGAGACACTTTCGCGAACATTCCAGAATCAACGAGATACTATTTCTAGTCTAAATATAACGTGATAACGTTTGTGGTACATTCTGGTAATTTTGGTGGAGGAACATTCTAGACCACCAATTTGTATATAAATATTGGTGGATGAGCCATCAGAATCAGTTATTATATGGACAGTGAAGATAAATAGTAATTAGTAGATAGACAGTGGTGAATATAAATAGTGATCAGTTTAAAGATATTCGAAGTATATATAAATTAGAATAGTTGTGTTATAAAATAAATAAGTGTTTAAATAAATTATTAATAAATAAACTGTTGTTTTAAAGTAAACAGACATCACAGTATAATGCAGATAATTTTTTGAATTATGAACAAAATGAGCTGTTCGGATTTCATTTAAAATTTGATACCAATCCCCGACTATGGCATTCTCGTTATAGTTCTCGGAATTAACTATTAAAAATAATAGCTATTAAAAAAGAAATCGGACATTTACATTCGCATCCCTTCCTGTCCCAATATGTAATGTTGACATTTCTGACTTTTTAAAAGTTTGAAAATGACTTTGTTGACTAGTATTTAAATTTCGTTTATATATATATACTGCTGCACCCAGCCGCTTATTGGAAACAAAGCTACACATTGCAATAAAATCTCCCATCTCTCAAATCTCCAACAAAATAAAAGTAAATTTTATTTTTTATCGCTCCAAACCGATAAAACTAAAAATATTTCGCAAAAAACCCATCATTATCCTTATCCATTATGAAAAAAGGAGTGGCATTTGCAAGTTTCAAAGAGTCGCGCTTCAACCGTCGATCCATCAAAATGTAAATAATCATCTTTCATTTTATTTTCGTACTGTACCTGCAGGTTCATGTCGGAGGAAGGTAAATTCAAGTCGAGTCAATCTTCAGCCTTCAATAGGCACGCGTCTATCATGCCTAATCTACTTAGAGGAACCAACAGAGACTAACGGCTGTGTGCAAGTAACTTAATCAACAAAAAAAACTTGTATTTCGTGCAAAAATTATTTTATTTAAAATTGGAAAGCGCTTTTAGAATTACGCCATCGTCAGTGTTTATTGTTAGTAGAGGTCTATCCAATAATATTAATCGTCATCTTGTGTACAAACATATTGAATGTTTGATGGTCCCAACTTGCTAAATCATCGTTTTTGATTTATTAAAAATTGTTTTTGGTTTACTATTACAAATTAAAGTTTTTAAATGGTACCATTTGGGAACGCGAAACCAAGACAGAAGACAAGAAGAATGAAACGGCTCTTTAAGCCAGCCCAGTCACCCAACAGTTAGGCATAGGGCATTGATACCCGGTATCTAACGAATCCACTGCTAAGGGAACCCATCCCCAAATCGACACTTCTAAAAATTATTAAATAAAATACAACTAAATTTAAATTAAATAACAAAAGTAAAACCAAAAGATACAACTTGTTTTGTTACATTTGTACCTGAAAGAAATGAATATTTACATTTTTGACAGAACATCTAGAATTAAATAACTAGCAAAGATACCAATCGCCCAAGATATACAGGATTCAATATTAAATTTTTCTCCAAAATACCCAGTATTTTGATTTGTGGAGAAGAAACCCAAGAGATTAAACCACAATTTGTGTGCCTTCTTGTAGCTAGTCCCCCTGTTCATCGTACTGTATAAGTCCGTCTGCCCATTATAGCCCAAGAGCCCACTGCAAATTTTTACCGTCATCTTTTATATTAATAAAATCAAATAAGACATGACAGCGCTAGTTTTGTTTGCCCTTAATATTCCAGAAAATAACATATTTAAATATTTCTTGATATATATCGTTAAAGGGAAACATTTTCTTCCTCTTAACATTGCACAAAAACATCTATCCTCGATTAATAGGTAAAAATAATTAAAAATATGAATCAATTTTTGCTAATTTGAAAATTTATTTGTATGCCTATTGTTGTGATTCATTTTTACAGGTTGCCATAGAAACGACAAAAAAACTACTATGATTATGGTTTAAAATAATTGTCAAACAAGAGTTTATAATTATTATTGACTATCTCTATAAATGGTTTATGCAATGCCATACTTCTTCCTTTCACACATACACATGGTTTAAAAGGTAGGTAAAAATATTAATAATTCAGGTTTAAAAGCTAGGTTCACAATAAATTAGGATTGTAATTTCCAGGGCAAACACAATTGTCGCTGTCATGTCTTATGTGATTTTTTGAATATAAAATAAGTTTTTTTAACCACTTTGCTCAGGATAGGGATTGGCACAGGTGTAATTTGGTAAAGTACAATGTTGTTACATGCCTGTGGAGCATATTTCATTTCGTTATCAGATGACGGTCGAAATTTGCAGTGGGCTCTCTTACTATTAGTTAACCCAGTTGACAAGAGGTTTGTTCCAACAACAATCTTGGAACCATACATAAACCAGTCCACAACTTATTGTCGGCGACTGATAGTCGACGACCTGTCCACGACCTTTCGAGGATTAGGACTGAATTCGGAATTGGATGTTATGTTGGAACACATTTTGCTGTTAATAACGTCAATATCAAAACAAATTTAGCAAATGTAAAATTTTTAATTTGGGAATTAAAAAATTATAAAATTCATTAAATAATAATTAATTTTGATTATTCGAATGGTTAGCACATTAAACTTTATTTATTTAAATTATTTACTATTTATATTTAAGTCAGAATAATATTCCTTTTTACTTTCTTTACTCATTACTCATTATTAATAAGTCAACAGATACATGTATCAAATAATAGACTACAAATAATGATAATGAGTGAAAACCAAATTACGATCGATAATGGTCTCTTAGATCGAGACTACGATCGATGCTATCAAAACCATGGAGGTATTCAACTTCATTGACCAAAACAAATATAATCATAAAATTTCCAGAGTTGGTTGTGGTTTATTTACGAGCTTATCTTCGTTCCTATTCAGACCCAGGAACTGATTTGACACTACAGAAACTGGTTTGTGGTTAAGTTTGGGTGTGTTGGAATACTAGGTTTTTGTACAGTTTTGAGTCCGAGGTTTGTAGAAACACCAAATCTAGACTGCGCAGAATCCCAACAGTACGTAAACCGATTTGCTATTGTCTTGGAACAAACCTAAGGTCTGCGTCTATCAGGTAGGTCTTGTAGTATGTAGTCCAGTCCTTTGCCGTTTAGTCTTTGTCTGAAACTTGACCTGGCCATTTGTCTGTTGTGTCCGTTACAGTCATATAAGATGTGTCTGGATCTTCAATTTCATCGTCGATGTCGCAAGTGTCGTCTGTGTTTTGTAGTGGAATCTGTTCAGGTATGCATTCATGTTTCCGTGTCCTGTTATAAGTTATACTCTTTTCCTGTTCCGTTTTAAGTATTTGTGGCGTACGCATAGATAAATTAATATTAATTTATCTATGGGCGTACGTCTTTATGATGTCCTAGGTGGTCCGTCCCATAGTTCCGTTAGTCCATGTGTCTTTCCATAATGTTATGGTATTGTCGTGTCGTTTCTTGCGTGTGTATGTTTTGTCTATGTATTATATTGTTTGTGCGAGGTGGTTGTGTGCCTCATTAGCAAGTTTGGGTGCCCATATATATCCGTATGTGATGTTGATGTTGTTTTGCTTGGCTATGTGTGTTAGTCTTTGGATTTCTGTTATTAGCTTGTGTCTTGTATTGCCTTTGTTTAATGAGGCGATTGTATTTGTCGAGCAGGTGAATGTTTTGATTCGTAAAATCTCAGAGGTTATTCCCTAATAACACCGATCTGCCAGGAACATCCCATTTAGGTTCCATGTATGTTTTTATGTTTCTGACATAAATGGTACGTCCCTACGATGTCTCTAAAGAAACGTTTCTGGAATGATTTCTCAAGAACGTTTTAGAAACATCGTAATAATGTTTTAGGTATTCTATTTTCGTTTTAATTATTTTGAAATATCAATAAATTATAAAATTACTACAATCACTAGAAATATACAATCATATCAAACTCCAATATTAAATTTGAACATTTTGAACAATATTTTTATTTCACAAGACAACTGCTAAAGGCCAAATGTATCTTTATTAGTTCCTTCAAAAAAGATTGCAAAGCAAATACGACAGAGATGAATATACCCTTCCTTCTGGCTCAGCAGAAGAGTTCGGTTAATCCACCGCGAGCTAAAAAAATACACTATTGAAGGAAGTCCTCGTGATGAAATCTATTTCTTTGCATTGAAAGTGTAGCACTAAGCTACAGTACTTATGAAAATATCGTTCCATTTGTACAAATTGTATGGATGGAACGATATTTTCAATAAAAAGGAATAAACCTCATATTTGATTTGCTCGCGGAGTATTAACCGAACACATCTACCGTATAATGATCCAATGACAATATTGACGTATGACAAACAGTTCATTAGTGTTGACCAATGAACTGGAGGGGGGTAGAATGCCAATGTACATGTTGTACTATTAGAGCAAGGTGCGACTCGATGGGCGCAGCCATTTTTATTGTTCATCTCACTCGGGACTATTTATAATAACCATTTTCTGTTTCACATTGTTATTGTTCAATCCACAAGCTGGTGGATCAGACAATAACAATGTGAAATAGAAAATGGCTATTTTAAATACTCCCGAGTGAGATGAAAAATAACCTATCTTTGCCCATAGAGTCGCACATCAAGTCTATTGACAAGCATTCTACCCCACTCCAGTTCATTGGTGTTGACAGTTGAAAATAATGAAAAGGTGTT